TGGGCCCGCACCGCGGGACGTGCCAAGGGGACGCGCTACGGAACGTGCCAATGGACGTGCACCGCGCGACGTGCCAGGGGGACTCGCCACGGGACGCTCCGCGGCAGGCAACATGCCAGGCTGCAATGCTAAGGGTATCGATATTGATGTACCGTGCCGAGGGCTGTGCTGTGCCTGGGCGACCTGGACACGTGAAAACACGCGTTTCGCTCAAGACGTTGTCAGCACATCCTCATGCTAGACATCCGCCTGGGCAACCTGGACACGTGCAAACAAGCGTCTCGCTCGAGACATCCTCAACAAATACTCATGCTAGACATCCGCCTGGGCGACCTGGACACGTGAAAACAAGCCTCTGGTTCGAGACATCCTCAACAAATCCTCATGCTAGACATCTGTCTGGGCCACCTGGAGGCGTGAAACCAAGCGTCTCGCTCGAGACATCCTCAAGACCTGGGCACGTGAAAACAAGCAATCCACTTGAGAGATCCTCAGAATTCAGGTCCCCAGGAGAGGACAATCTATAACACGAAACAAGCGTTTCGCTCGAGACATCCTCAACATGTTCTGAAAAACAAGCGTTTCGCTCGAGACATCCTCAAAAATTAATTCGCCGGCCCTACGCGACCTCGTTATTTATCGCAAAAGAAATTCGCCGGCCCTACAGCCGTCGAAACCGGGGGGAAACAAAACTAAAAGAGAACCCTGGGCCTTTGCCCTTTCCAGGAAAAAACGCCAGCTCGAGCCACAGCGGCTACGGAATACAATTTACCGATGCTTTCGATGTTTCAGTGGAGGGCCAACACATCGAAAGAAGAAAGCTTTCCCTGAATGCTGGGGGGCTTCGGAAGAGCCCCCTATAAGACCACGAAACGTTAGATGACGTGTCGAAATGGGCCTGGTGAGGGCAGAGGAGAGAGGACAAGGCGGAAGAAGGGCCGCGGGGCGCTGCTGATTCAAAGAACGGGAACCCAACCCACACACAGGAGGCTTGAGAAAAACAACTTATGCGGCGAAGGACCCAACCCAACGCAGCTGCGAGTAGCGAAGGCAATGCGCCACAAGAGGTTGGGGCGCATGCGATAGGATGCCGTTGAAACTGAAAGTGTGGGGCCACGAAGCGGGTGAGATATGTGCCGGAATCGGCAGGGAACCTGTTTGCGATACCCAGTCGCTGAATCTTTCGATGGGGCCCTCTGCGAAGCCAAGAAATGTGAAGGGTGTGCCGAAATTGGCGGGGGGACGCTACGTATGCAGCACCTTGCCACTGAGGCCTTAGGTGGAACTCGCCATGGAGCCACGGAACGTGTGAAGGATGTGCCGAAATGTGTGTGTGTGTGTGTGTGTGTGTGTGTGTGTTTGTGTGTGCTTGTGTGTGTGCAGGGGGGCGGCGATCTGCGGTCACACCCCGTAGGGGCTTCGGTGGACCACCCAATGGGGCCACGAAGCGTGCGACGGGTGTGCCGAAGTTGACTGGGAGGATGCCATGCGGCCACACCAACCGGGGGTTTCGCACTCCCACTAGGGGCTCTGGTGGAGTTCCTGATGGGGCAACAAGGCGTGTGAGGGTGAGCCGGCATGGGCGGGCGGGGCGCATGCAACACCACCCCCTGGGATCTTCGCTGGAACATCCGATGGGGCCACGAGGGATGTGAGGGTAAACCGAATGGTCGGGGGCTCTGCATCCCCAGGACGAAAGTTTTTCCCTTGGGGCTCGGAACGACGGCTTGAAGTCTTGAGCTGGCGCGTATGAGATAACTGTCGTCAGATCCAGTTAAGCTTGCGCGGATTCTGCTTTGGTTTGGTTTGCGTTTCGATGGCCTCGATTTCCGCACGCGCGGATCCGGTTTCGGATGTCGTGGATCCGATGCCCGTCGTGTTGTTTCACGGAGATCCGATTTCTACCCCGTTTTACATTAAAAAAAGGAAGCGGAAAACTCTGATCCGCGGACCCCGCAGCCGCAACCCGCCCGTGCAGGACGCCGACGTCAATTACCGCATTCGCCGAGAACCCCGACCTGCACACAACAAATCCCAATGCACTGGGCAAGGTTTGATAAGACATCCGCTCCTCGAAGGCGGGCATGCGGACATTGCGTTAACAAACCAGACCCTGATGGCTGAAGGAAAATCGTACGACACCTTCCTTGGAGGCGAAGGGACCCAACTCCGCCTCATCGCACTTATCCACCTCCCTTCTCTTCCAAGTATCAGATTTCAATGTCGTACTTGTGCCACTTCAACTTCCTGTTGCTGATTGCTGTGCCTTAAAAGTATGTTGTGTGCCTCTCCTCCGCCTCCTCATCCGCCTCCTCTTCCTCCTCCTCTTCCTCACCATCATCCCGCTCCTCCTGTGTGACCCCCATGACTTAAACGGGGGGTCACACGAGACTCGACCGCACCTGCGACTGCGCAAGAACACGCCCAAAGCGACGAAAAGAACGCGAAAACCGATATACGGGAAAACCAGCTTCCGCGGCCCAGACCAGGTTTAACCTCGGACGCAGACTCGGGAAGGGAGCCCCCCCAGCACTTGCCATTCGGAGGCTCCCTCCCCGCTGTAAGACTGCCCAAAACCTTACGTTGAAGACTATTAGCGGGCATACGCGGCTGCCTACAAAAAAAGTTGTTTGCGAACGTAAGCCCCGCAACGGTTACAACACATGACGGCGTTCAGACCCCCATCGGTCTGGCCCTCCCCAGGCGACGACGTCCCCCCTAGCCCCCTCTGAGCACGAACGACCCGGAGCCGACGGGAGTCGCGCGCCAGAGCCGCAAGCAGGGACCCATTGCGCAAGGCAAAGCAAAACCATAGCCTTCGAAGCCTGCCGAATCCCACACTTCAGACAGCTCCACGCTTGCCTGAGAGGCTCCAGGGAACGCCCATTGGGAGGCCTCTCGAAATCCGATTTGGGGCCCTGGGGATCCACACGACGTCAAGGGAGAGGGCCCTTGTCGGGACGCTCAAGACTCGCAAGCGCTTTCAACGCAGCTATATGGCGGAGCAACAAGTTCACAACCGTTTCGTGAACTGTAGCAAGCCTGGCCTCACATTCGCGAGGCCAGTTCTGCGGGTGCAATCAAACTCCGAGCTTGGAGTCGGTCGGCCTCCTTATTTCCGATGTGTCAGCACCAATTCGCCCCCGACAGATCGGCCAGACGCCACGACACGTGCGCCCTGACCCAGACCATGGAGAGCCTGTCGACGTCCATGTCTCGGACATACCACCATAACTTGCGCCATGAGTGGGCGCACACTTGTTCATGGCCGACATGCAGTAGATCTTTATGGATTCGTAGTCGCCAATTGCGCTCTCGCAACTACTGGCGATCAAACGCGACCCGAATCTTTTGTGTCGCAGCACCCGTGTCACAGGTCGGTGTAGCCGACCTCCTGGAAACTGCCATGGATCGGCCAGCGCATCCCGCCGATAATCCTCCCGTCGATCGTGGCGGTCGCAGCCAAACACCGCAGCGGGTGAGCCTGACGCACAGGGGGCAGATCGCCGAGCTGTCCACGAACCCGATTTCTTGTCACAGCTTTGATAGGGCCCCCCCAGCACGAAAGCAGACCTCCTCCTTCGCGAGCGACGCCGCGCCGTCCGGCCTCAGGTCGACCAGGTATCTCTGCATGCCCATGTATTTCGCCTTCGCCTTTCGGCGGGCAGCCCTGACCTTCGCGAACCTCGCCTCCCGCGCCACGTAGAGGGTGTCGCCGCGGCAGAACAGCCCATGGCGGGTCGTGCCGAGAGCCGCGTGGCCCCACCGGCACTCGGGGTTCGGCCCGCCCTCTCCACGTTCAGGTCGTGCTGTGCGATCGGCCCTCCTGCCACGAGGGGCTCCAGCAAACACCATCCACACCAGCAAGAACACCATCCCAGGCACTTCCTTGAGCCCTACACGTAGTGGCTCCAGCGTCGGCGGCCTGCCCTCCAACGCCTCGAAGCCTGGATGCTGTACCACCAGCTTTATCAAGGACCTCGTGGTGCGTGCCTCGACCATGGAGGCCACGAGCTTTGGGACGTACTCCTTGATGTCGAGTGCTGCTCCAGGTCGGTGGTCAACTGGCCCAAACTCGTGAACTGCCAATCCATCCTGCTCAACGTCTTGTGAACGAACGGCTGCCGTCGGTTCACTCACTCCGTTCCAGTTCTAGGGCTCCCCTTTGCCGTGAGCCGCCCGCAACACTGCAAGTGGCCTGAGCCCTGTGCACACAGCCTTGGTCCACGACATCAGCGGCAAGAAATTCGCCGCGTAAGGTAGGGTCGCGTCTCCAGCCGTCAGACTCCTGGACGGCAAGCTGCAATGCCCTCGCCGTCCGTCTCGTTTCGCCAGCCAGGGACCGAGCTTTTACCGTGCGAGCCGTCTGAAAGGCCTCAAGAAACACCCCTTTAACTGTCGCCCCGTGGAGCACCGAAGTGATCCCTCCAGGTCGGAAGATCTTCTCCAGCTTGGCCCCATCTTTCCCCAAGGCCATGTAACACGCTCTGCTGCCTAGCTTCCGAAGGCGAGCTCGCAATACAGCACGGCCAGCTCTGCTGCCCTTGCCGAAGTCGGCCCCCGGGTTCCGTACCGAGTGGTAAAGCTGGAGAACCCACTTTGCCAACTTCTGCGTTGTCCTTTGCCTTGTCCCTGATTGGAGGAGAGCACGCCACCATTGGTCGGGGAGAGCTTGAAACCGATACTCTCGAGCTCATTAAAGATTGTACCCTACCTGTCTTTTGAGAATTCCCCGTCTCGATGTCGCGGAGGCGCCCATGGGCGGCCAACGTGAGGGCGTCATCCACCACGTACAGCTTCAGCGACGGCCAGCACTTTATGAGGGCGTCAAGAGGACTCAACAGTACAACTCGAGGGAGCGTGGTAACAAACCCATATCCTGCAATAATCGACAGCCCCACCTTCAGCTGGTCCATCTTCCATGCCCCCCTCCCCTCCTTCTCCTCCTTCCCCTCCTCCTCCTCGTTTCACTTTGCTGCTGCTTCCTAGCCCCAGCTGGCCGAAGTCGAAGGAGTTGCAGATGGCGTCAGAGTCGAAACGGGTGCCGATGCCTTGGCCTGACTGTCGGTCTGGAAACGGAGCGGGTCGCTGTTGGACTCCTCGTCACCTGACCTGCACATGCGAGGAGGGCTGCATCGAGGATGCCACGTTGTGATAGGGCCTGTAAGGATGCTTCCAAACTAGACCTCAGCGCTTAAGTGATCGTGGGCGCAAGCATTTGGACGCGAGGCGCGATGCTGAGAAAACGATGCCGACGAAACGATAGACACAGCAGAACAATCGTCGCAAGGAGCTGATAAGCCAACGGCAAGACGAGTTTAAGCCATGCAAGGCCAGTCCGCTGACACTTTTTGCAGCTTGCTTGAAAAAGACTCCAATGCCACTGGCAATGCTGAACACACGTCGCTGTCTGGCTGGTCGTTCCCTGGGAACGCTTTGCTGCACCACTCTCAGATGTAAGTGGACGCAAAAGATCCGCTTCTCCCGCCGCCCTGCTGTCGCGCACCGCTGTCGCGCACCCCCCCCCGAACACTTGGTTGGTCGATGGTCCAGCGATGCGAACATGTCTTGGAGGCAGGGCACAGTCGATTGGGAAAACTAGCATAAGCATAACATATCGGTTTCGGACTGGGCGGAAAATAAGACACAACATGCGGCGAGCCGGTCCAACACTACTACTCGCCGTCGGCCCGATGGGTTCCAACTCCGAGACCCAGGAGCCGGCTCCGCCGGCCAGACTGAAGAACACTCGAGGGTACCCATCCAACATCCAGCAAACGCGACGAACATCAAACAGAACACGGAGCTCCCCCCGAATGCACAAGAGCATCCAACAAGCACGAAGAACACGTGGATACCCTCTCCGAACCGACCTCGATATTACGCCTCGGTCCGATCGTATCGCCCAGGAAGAACAACATGATGGACCCACGAACCCGGAAAGGGATATAGACATGTGCAGCATGGTCACGTTTTCACGATATCCAACTGGGCGACACCTCACGAAACATCCCACGAGACACCCCGCGAAACATCCCAGGAGACACCTCACGAAACAACCCACGAGACACCTCACGAAACATTCCACGAGACACCCCGTGAAACATTCCACGAGACACCCCACGAACAGGCAACCACTCAACCAGACACCCCACGAAACATTCCACGGGGGTGCGACTGGGTGTGGTCGTGCTGGGGTGTGGTCGTGCTGGAGTATGGTCGTGTTGGGGTCGTGCTGGGGTGTGGTCGTGCTGGGGTGTGGTCGTGCTGGGGGGTGGTCGTGCTGGGGGGTGGTCGTGCTGGGGGGTGGTCGTGCTGGGGGGTGGTCGTGCTGGGGGTGGTCGTGCTGGGGCGTGGTCGTGCTGGGGCGTGGTCGTGCTGGGGCGTGGTCGTGCTGGGGTGTGGGTCGTGCTGTGGTGAGGTCGTGCTGGGGTGTGGTCGTGCTGGGGTGTGGTCTTGCTGGGGTGGGTCGTGCTGGGGTGGGTCGTGCTGGGGTGTGGTCGTGCTGGGGTATGGTCGTGCTGTGGTGGGGTCGTGCTGGGGTGGGGTCGTGCTGGGGTGTGGTCGTGCTGGGGTGTGGTCGTGCTGGGGTGTGGTCGTGCTAGGGTGGGGTCGTGCTGGGGTGGGGTCGTGCTGGGGTGTGGTCGTGCTGGGGTGTGGTCGTGCTGGGGTGTGGTCGTGCTGGGGCGTGGTCGTGCTGGGTGGGGTCGTGCTGGGGTGGGGTCGTGCTGGGGTGTGGTCGTGCTGGGGTGGTCCGCACCCTGTGATTTATCGATCGGGTCGTGCTGGGGTGTGGTCGTGCTGGGGTGTGGTCGTGCTGGGGAGTGGTCGTGCTGGGGTGTGGTCGTGCTGGGGGGTGGTCGTGCTGGGGGGTGGTCGTGCTGGGGGGGGTCGTGCTGGGGCGTGGTCGTGCTGGGGCGTGGTCGTGCTGGGGTGTGGTCGTGCTGGGGTGTGGTCGTGCTGGGGTGTGGTCTTGCTGGGGTAGGGTCGTGCTGGGGTCGGGTCGTGCTGGGGTGTGGTCGTGCTGGGGTATGGTCGTGCTGGGGTGGGGTCGTGCTGGGGTGGGGTCGTGCTGGGGTCTGGTCGTGCTGGGGTGTGGTCGTGCTGGGGTATGGTCGTGCTAGGGTGGGGTCGTGCATTTCGCTCGAGACATCCTGCCAAAATTCCAGGAAATCGTACAAAAACAAAGGAATTAGTCGAGACATCATCGAAATTCCTTCGCGCGGGGCGCTTTTCCGCGTCGCGGTCGGCTCTGCAAAACAAGCGTTTCGCTCGAGACATCCTCGGCAAACTCTGCGGAGCAAGCGTTTCGCTCGAGACATCCTCAACACACGAAAAAGTGGCCCGCACCCTGTGATTTATCGATCGGGATTTCAAAAACAAGCGTTTCGCTCGAGACATCCTCAAATTTTAATTCGCCGGCCTCCTTCGACCTCGTTATTTATCAGGGAAAAAATTCGCCGGCCTCCCTCAAGTTGGCACCGGGGGACAGGTTTACCTACTAAAAGAGAACCCTGGGCCAAAGCCCTTTCCGGGAAAAAAAACGCCCGCTGATTTGCACCAGGGCGTGGGCGAGGGAGGGAGGCGGTCGCGGAGAAGGTGGACTGCGGAGGGCCCACATAGGTCAGGGTGGCCTTGATCGGGTGCTGGCGCTGCGGCCCCAGCTCCGAGTGGAGCGGCTATCCCAAACTTTTTGCTGTTGCGCTGGCGAGAATCTAAGGGGCAACGATAGGGGGAGACTGGCATAGGGGGGGGAACACATCGGCCTGGAATCTGCGATACATCGCCGACAGATCGGCGATAGGCCCCCGATAGCAAATCTGCACGTTCCTGGGCAGGTTGGGGCTATTGGGCCCCTGTCGGCGATGAATGGGCGATTGGGGGTCAATGCGTTCCTCTCCTATGCCCATCCCCCCCCATCGTTGCCCCTGAGAACCCAAGCCACGTAGAGAAGACAGACGCGGGGCGCACGTAGCCGAATTGGGCAAGGGCGGGCGGCAGGAGGCAAGAGAGCGCACGGGGAAGGGAGAAGAGCACGCTCAGAGCATGCAGCCTCTCGGCAATCCCAGACATCCGACGATGTGACTTTGCAGTGCGCGGCCACAGAGACAACCCACGACTGCACGGTTTCCGCCTGGGCAGTAGGCGACCCGAGGAGGAGGAGGAGGAGGAGGAGGAGGAGGAGGAGGAGGAGGAGGAGGAGGAGGAGGAGGGGGAGGGGGAGGAAAAGGACCCTTCCCTGGGGCAATTTCCCTGAGCCCTTCCCCGGGGTAGCTTTCCGTCCCAGATCCGTGCTTGATGGCCCTGGGGAGGCCGAACTCGAGGAAAAGCGCCACTGATGCAAATGTAGCCAGAGATCTGGGAACCGCAGCCGTCCCTCATGCCCCTCCCCTTCCCTTCCCCTTCCCCCCCCTGCCTCTCAGATCTCCGGCGACCTGTGTTGTTGAATCCTTGCGGCGTTTTGCCTCGATTTCGGCCTCTCGTGTCCATTATCGGGCCCCTGGACCTTCAAGCATGGATCCGCGGCGAAAAACTACTCCAGCAGAAGGGGTCGGGATCTTTCTGGGGCCGTGCATCAAACAACAATTTGGTTGGCGAAGAACCCAACCCTGAACAACTTCATTTGAACTTGGTGATGAACTCCTCTATGCGAGATCCGTGTGTGACAGGTGTGCCAGCATGGGTGGGGCGTGCGCATGCGAACTTTCACGCTGGGGCCAAAAGTGGGGCGCCTCATGTTTCACGATTCGTGAAGCGGTTGTGCCGGAATCGGCAAAATGACGAATGATAACCCTGCGTCCGGTGACGCAGGTGGAACCCCCTTGTGGAGCAACGGTCCTCGTAAAGGGTATGCCGAAATGGGCCCACGTCCGCCGCACGGACTTCCCCATTGGGGCCGTAAATAAAACTCCCTGTGGAGCCACACTCAGTGTAAGTAATGTGCCGGAATGGGCGGGGGGGCCGCATGTGGGCGCACCCGCTTGGGTCGCCGGGACAGCTCTCTACGGCGGCACGATCCTCGCGAGTGGAGTGCCGAATATGTCGGGGGGGCCGCATGCGGCCACATCCCATGGGGGGTGCGGTGGAGCTCCCCGTAGGGCCACGAAGCGTGCGAGGGGTGTGCCGAGATGGGCGGTGGGACCGCATGCGGCCACATCCCCTGGGGGGGTCGGTGATGTCCCCCTCTTTTCGGGCCACGAAACGTGCGAAGGGTGTTCCGAAATCGGCGGGGGGGGGGACACTGTGTGGCCCAGCCCCTTAGGCGCTTCAGTTGAGCTCCCTACGCAGTCACGAAATGTGCGAGGGAGGGTGGGCTGGAGAACGCTGTGTGGCCCAGTCCACTGGGCGCTCCGGTGGAACTCCATGTCGGGCCACGGCGTGCGAGGGGCGTGTCGAGATCGGAAAGGGAACGCACTGCGGACAACCCCCTCAGGGGGCTTCGGTGAATCACCGCATGGGGCCACGAAGCGTGGGAGGAACGAACGAACGAACAAGCCATGCGCCACAAAAGCGCGTGGGTGAAAACGTGCGTCTCGCGTTGCTCAGCGCGGGCTCGCAGAAAAAACGCGGGCGACGAGATTGCGTCATGCATGCTGCTGTGCGCCTCCTGCCAGGGCGTCAGGGCGCGAAGAACAAGGATGCATGTTACATATGGCCTCTTGCCCCTTCAGGGCGAGGGATGGCGTCTGCCGCGCTGTTCTCCACAGCGCCGGGCCTCTCAAGCTCTGCATCAATTGCTCGTCGCCACCAAAATGTGCAGATGATAAGCAGTATAAGCACTCGGCCCAGTCTTGTTCGGGCCTGCCTCGTCTTCTGGGGAAAGCATTCGTTGCGGGCTTCGCGCCGCCAGGCTAAAATGTCAGCTGGCGTGGGAAGTCAGAACCTGGAGCGCGGCCTATCTTCCCCAAAAGCACGAGCTGCTGATGTAGAAGGCGTGCCCTGCATGGTAGTTGTCCGGATTGTTCCAGGACGCTGCTGCTGGGTATCCGCGACGCAAATACGGGGGCATGTCTAACATCTTGCGCAAGCACCGCGCTTGAAATCCACCAAGACGTCTTCTCTCCGACTCGTTCAACCAAGCTGTACTCAGAGAGTGTATCCGTTTTGATGTCACCAGCGCTTGAAATAGTTCCAGCCTCCACCGAATTCTGATCGACGTATGCTTCCATGCCCTGTCATATCTAACAAACTCCCCCCACGCAGCTCCAATTGGCCGAATCAGCTATGTGTGACCCCTGCCGTTATTGTATGATGTGGCCCCCAAGTAAGTCAGACACTCCTTTGTCCGCGATCAGTTGTCCTGATGGCGTTCGCAACTGCGCACCACTACTGATTCGAACCATTGGACAATTGTCCAGATGAAGCTCCATTCCCACATCGGCTCCCGCTGCAGCAATACGATCCAGAAGATGTTGTAGGCTGCACTGGTTCCTCCCAATGAGCAAAGTGTCGTCGGCGCACAACAGCAGCTGTAGGTCCCCGGCACACATGTTGGATCGTTCTTTGTGAGCTCCCTGACGGCACCCCGCGCCACAACTGCCATCAACATAACAAGAAGAAGCGGTGACAGAGGGCGCGCTGGAGAAATTCTAGACACTCGCGCTCGCTCGAATGATTTTGTCGCCCCGTCCGCCACGCAAAACCGCCGCCCATTGTAGATATCCCCAATCAGTGCAAGCATCTTCGGCTTCGCGCCGAAGCGGCGCAAAGCGACCAGCAGGGCATCGACGTTCATCGAACCACATGTTTTTTCTCAGTCTCGGCTACAAAAGTCGCGCCGCTATCTTGCGGGCATGTGCGATTTCGATAAGACGGCGCACTGCGTGAAAGGCGTCGGCGGTACCTCGTCCGCGTCTAAAGCCGCGCTGCGTCTATGTCAGCCGGTCTTCTGCCCCTGCTCGTTGCAGTTGGAGTAGGGGGGGGGGGGGCTGGCAACTTGCGCGCCGCGCTCGACAAACTGACTGGCTGGCAATTGTCCGTCACTGCACAGGCCCCTTATTCTTGTAAATCGCACTGACCCTTGCGCGCCGCCGCGCTTCTGGCGCGCTCTGCTCATGCCAAACTGCGCTGCGAAATTCCGCGAGCCACTGTAGTCCGCCTGGCGTCTGCGACGCTGACTTCCAACTCTGCCAGCATGTCGTCGGGCCCCAGCGACTTCCCCCGCGAGAGCGCGCGAACTGCCGCCCCAGCTCCCCTCGCTGTGAAAGCAGACTCGCCTACCGGGAGGTCGTTCCTCAGCGGTTCATTGTCTACCAGATTTGCTGGGCGCACTCGTCATTGAACACGTTCAAGAAAATGCGCCATCGCATCTGCTCGCTCGCGACTTCCAACAAGTCCCCCCTGAAGATGTTGTAGTCGCCCTTGTTTGCGCTGTCGCGGGCGGCAATACTTCCGCATGCCCCCCCCCCCCAGTTGCCCTCGGCCGCATGTGAATCCATCCATTTCGTCTTACCAATCGCACACGATGTACGGACTTATGTTAGAATGCGTCGCTCTCCGGGGCGATCATTGCGATTGCGGGCCCGACTTCTGAATTGAATTAATTCCTAGGTGCGCCTGGATACCCAAGACTGCACGGCTTCTTCCTGACACTTGGGAGGCACTGCTATCGCCACTAGGACTGCGTGCGCCCCTTGCCCCCATAACGAACCCACATGACGATTCCCACTAATATCGTTGGCAATCTCGTCTAAGAAAGCGTCAGCAAGCATAGATTGCACTTCCGGGTGCCGGAGCAAACTCCTGTCTCTCGGAAGCGCCCGCGAAAGTGGAACTTCATCACGGGAGCTAGCGATGTCCACGGTTACCAAATAGTAATATGTAGCGAGAGCTGCTTGTCGGTGGCTGCGCAAAGATCGCATCTGTCCAAGAGTAACGGCGCCGCGCAAAACGTGATCCAGGACATTGCGCCCCTCGTCTGCGACGTCGCCCAGCGGCAGCGCGCCCGCCCCCATGAAAGCGACGGTCTGCTTCAAGGGCCGGTCAAAGTAGGCATTTGCAAGTCGCGGGTCCAATCCAAAACGCTCGAACAGCAAAGCTCGATTAGGAACATCGGCTTGGCGGGGAGCTCGCCTGCCCCACGCAAGTGGCCCAGCTACTTCTGATCATCCAGCTTCCGCGCGCCTTTTTCTGGCACTCGCGCCCCCCGTGATGACCCCCCCTGCTGTCGTTGGACAAATGCAGAACTCGGAATCCAGAGCTCTCCAAAATTTTCGCCTTTCCGGCAGCGGCTTCAACTTACGGGGGGCGCGCGCGCAGAAGACTCCGAGCACGCGGCGGCCGAGGGCCATTTTCAGTTGAACCATTCTGTCAGAAATCCGCCGACGCACCCCAGAGGCGCGCGCGACATCCTCTGCGCGCAGCGTGCCAGCGTGCGATCGAGACCCCCCCCCGCCGCGGACGCACCCCGCTCGTTTCCTCGAGCCTCGTTCCAATGCCACTTTGCACGATGCCGCCATTCCCTGAGCTCCCAGCCATCCACGTCTTGGGACCACCCACGCGAGCCACCCCGCTTGTTTCCTGCAACCTCGTTCCAAAACCATGTTGCATGATACCGCCATTCCCGGAGCTCCTAGCCATCTACGTATTGGGCCCCCCCCCACGCGACAAATTCTGGCCCGAAACCAACCCGCGCCCACCGCCGCGACCCCCGCCACGGCACGGCACCCCCACCCCGCGAGACCTCAATTGTAGGCACCCCCCACGTCCGAGCACCTCTACTCCACGTCAGGACTTGATACCTCCCACGCGGCAAACTCACGCTCGAAACCGGCCCGCGCCCTTCATCGCCCGACGAGAATCCAGTTCTTTCTTCGGGCCCGAAACACATCCCGGCACCCCGAGCTCAGTTCTTGGGACTTCCGACACAACGCATTCTGGCACCAAACCTATCCACCACGCCCCCCACCGCGCCCCTCGCCGCGCCCCAGCACCCCCCCCACACGAGAGCTCAGTTCTTGGGATCCCCCACACGACAGATTTTGGCATCAAACCTACCCGCATCCCCCACCGCGTTACCCACCGCGCCCCGGCGCCCCCACCCCGCGAGAGCTCAATTCTGCAGACTCCCCCACACGACAAATTCTAGCCTGGAACCTACGCGCATCTCCCACCGCGCCCCCCACCGCGCCCTGGCACCCCCGCCCCGCCAGAGCTCAGTTCTTGGGATCCCCCAAGCGACAAATTCTGGCCCAGACCTACCACTGCGCCCACCGCGCCCCCCGCCGCGCCCCGGCACCCCCACCCCGCCAGAGTTCAGTTCTCGGGATCATCGCGCGACAACCCGGCCCGAGAACATAGTTCTTCGGAACGAACCTCCACGCGACAAGATGGCGCCCGGGGGAGGTTCGCAGAAAAAAACGTGAAGACCCCGTGACGTGACACGTTCACGCCGAGGGCTCAACGTTCGCGTCGAGGGCGTCGACTCAGTGTTCCTGTTCACTGGGCCCGTGGTTCACGCCGACGCCCACCTCTCCAAAACAGGTCGAGCTTCGCCCGACCTCAGGCTGCCTGCCTCTGCCGCCATGAGGCGCCAGAAGGACTCAGCGCCAGAGGCAGCATGCGCAGAGAACATCTTCTCTGAAAATGCCAGAGCGGCCAAGTGGGCCGCGTCGCCATCAGGCAGCAAGCGCATCCTGATGGGCGCGGACAACGCGGCATTGAACAAATGCCACACGCGGTCTTCGTTGGACTGCTGGAGCGCCTCGCCCATAGCAACATGCCACGTGATGACCACCGCGCGCCCCGCGAGCATGGCCAGAGCCTCTGTCAAGCAAACTCCAGGCTTGTTAGGCTCAAGCCGCTGGGCGACCTCGACGTCGACCACCAAGGCGGGGATCGGCGCGTCGAAGGAGAGGCGCCGCGAGGGCGCGTGCTTGGAGGAGAGGGAGTACGCCTCCTCCGACCACATGCCCATGGCACCCTCGAGTTGGCTTACGGTGACGTCGTCGATGTCCGAGCAAATCGGGTCCAACATCCACGCCGCCCCCGCTGCCTCGTACTCCTTGGCGCGGGAGAAGCTCGCAACCAGGTTGCCGTAGTCCATGACCCCGCGAAACGAACTGAGGTTTGCGCCAGAGGCAGCATCAGTGATGGCCAACGGCGGAATCACAGAACACTTGGCGGGCACCGCGAAGGGCACCTCGCGCTTGCGCTGGCCCAGGAAGCTGAGCAAACTATGGTCGACGTGGTGCTTCACTTGGCGCACCCACTCCTTGACGTGACCCTGCTGCGTCGACTGGTCCGTCTCGAGGAGCTGCGCGATGCACAGGGCCCGCGGCGCGCCAGAGGCAGCGGCGGGCGGCGCGCCGGAGGCAGCGGCGGGCGGCGCGCCAAAGGCAGCGGCGGGCGACGCGCCAAAGGCAGCGGCTGGCGAGGCCGCCGCGGCCGCCGCCTTCTTCGCAGGCGACGGGGGCCCCACATCACCTGCCCTCATATTGCCCATGGCGGCTGCTGGTGGTTGTGGGGGAGCGCGAAAAGCAAAAGCGAGCTACTCGCGTCCGAGAGCCGAAACCGCTGTGGATGATGATGATGATGATGATGATGGTGATGATGATAATGATGATGATGATGATGACAATGATGGTGATGACGATGACGGCGACGGTGATCATGATGATGGTGACGACGGAGATGACAACTGCTGGTTGCGTGATGACGGTGATGATGCTAACGACAGTGAGGATGATGATGTTAGCGACGCTTCAAATCCTTAATCTGATGCGCCCCCGTGGTGGACCAGCCAGAATTGACGCCGTGGGTCAGCCAGTGGCTCGACCCCCGCCTGGCCAGGGCCCGGCGGACACCCCGCGGAGCAGCTGGAGGCCGTGATCTCCCACATCAAGAGTGCCAAAGCAGGAGGACCCGCCATCTTCGGCTGCAAGATCGACCTCCAAGGCCTTCGACATAATCTGCCCACGGCGGGCCATGCGCCTGCTGCGCCACATCGGTGCGCCTGAGGGGCTGCTCGCGGCTATGGTAAGTTTCTACGACCAGCGACGCCACTTCGTAGAGCTGGACGGCGCGGTGTCCCGCGCGCCCATCTGCCCGGCGCGCTGCCCCGCAAGCATGCTCTGCCTGATCGTAGACATGACCTTCTGGAGGCGATGGACCGCCAGCCAAGTACCCGACACCCACGCCCGGGCATACGCCGACGACAGGACCCTGCACGGCAGGGGGCCCCACGCCAAGAGCACGGCAGCGCGCGCCGCACTGGCGACGCAACAATGCGAAACGGACGCAGGATGGATCTGGAACGTCGGCAAGGGAGCCTCCTTTAGCACAGGCCGCGCCGGCCATGCCACAGCTGCGGAGAGCGTGGCCCTGACACAAGTGGGCAACCTCAAGCCCGCCCTCGAGCTGCTGAGGGTGACGACCTCGCTCAGCAAGGCACCGCCAATCGCCCGACGAGAGTGCAGTGCGGCATCCGGCATCTACATCGCCGGCCTCATCGCGCTGGCGCTGCCGGAGCCACGCCAATGGCCCAGAAGGCTAAAGATGTTGCGAGCCCTGGTCATTCCCAAGTTCGCCTAGGGAGGGAGGTTCTTGCGGCCACCCAAGGAAGAGCTACGGAAGCAGGATGCCGCCGTGCGGCGGGCGGCCCTGCTCGCGCCGCGCACTGCTGGGCGCGCCGCCTTCCTGAGCATCGTGGGCCCGAGCATCGACCTCGAGTTCCAGATCGACCTCGACAGCCTCCGGCACCAGCTCTGGCGGCTGAGGCAGCAGCAGAGGGCTGAGCATCACGGACGATGGGACCCCCAGATGGTCAGAGGTGATCGCCAGGCAGGCGAGTCCCCCGTCCGCCGGTGAGGTACCCCAGAAGGAGAGCTCGATCTGGCGCGGGACGGCAAGCGCACGCTGGAGACTGTGGCGTGGCGGAGCCACATCCGGCGCATGTGGCAGCAGGACACCAGAGCCTAGGATGCGGCCTCCCGGGCCGCCCTGCGGGGTGGCGAGATGCATGTCACCAGCCTGAGGCTCGCGCACAGCGCCGGCACCGCCGCCATCCGCAGGGCGGCCCTTGGATGCACCCACGAGCATCACACACTTGAAGGCGTGCTTCGCGCCCAGCAGGGCGACGGATATGTCCACCGAGACGTCGCGCGCATCTGCGGGGCCGTGGCGCGCCGCCAGCATTGGCTTTGGGAGTGCATCGACGAGCAATCGGCGGCCGCCGCTGCAGCGCCCTCCAGTCGGCCGCGATCCGGCCTAGAGGAGAAGTCCACCGTTTGCATCGTCCCCATTGCCCCGACCACGCGGCGGCCAGCACATGCGGCGAGGACTGCGCAGCTTGAGCCCATTCGAGCCGCCCACCGGCATGTCAGAGACAACGGGGAGGGCGTGACCCTTACCGCCACAGACGGCTCTATCGCCGAGATCTCGCGCGGCGCGCGCCTCCGGCAGGGATGCTGGTCCGCTGTGGTCGCCCAGAGCCGCGCCCCGCCTGCATGGGCCCCCAGACCCCAGCACGGCCTGGACTCATCATCCGCTGCGCTGGAGAGGGAGAGTTTCAGAACAATGCTGGAGGCGGCGGCGGCCGAGCAGGTCCCCGTCGTGTGCTTCATCGACAACGTTGGAGTCCAGCGGAAGGCTGCGGCCATCCTGTCCGGGCAGCGCCTGGTTGTAGACTATGGCTTCGGCGGGTGGCAGGAGCAGGAGGCGCTCGCAGCCTCCCTGCCGGCGGGCAGCAGCGCCCGCCGGGTGCCGTCGCATGGCAAAAGACCCAGCTGGGCCGCCCTGGCCCGATTCACCGATGACGTGCGCTTCCTCAACAGCATCGCGGACCGGCGGTGCGGTGAGGCCGCGCGCTTGGTGCTCCAGCAGCAGCTGCAGCCTCTGGCGGAGGCTCACGCCACTGCGGCAGTTGGCACGGCCAAAGGCTGTCGCCGGCTCGCCGCTGGGGAGGCGAGATGCATGACCGACTGGCTCCCGGAGACCAGCGAGCAGAGCCTCGACAAGGCTGCCCATCGAGGTGGCCTTCGCGGCGGCGGGCGGCGGCATGGCCGCGCCGCAACCGCACCAGCACAGCAGGAGGCCCTAGGCGCGCCGCGCGCCGGCCCTGCCGCCCCCCCTGCGCTCCCCGAGCGCGCCCCCTCGCCTGGCGACGAGGGCGGCACGGCAGGCAGCGCGCCTGCTCAGGACAGTGTGCAGCGCGGCCTGCCGCGCACCAGAGGAGGAGAGAGGTCAGAACGGCAGTGCCCCAGCAGAGGAGGAGGGCGGCCCCAGGACCGCCTCTCGTCAAGTTGATTTGATATCATGCAGACACTCACAGAGGCACCCACTTGCTTTTGGCCAGGTACTGCAACAACTTCTTCCATCGCTCGCTAGTACGTGGCATCGCCGCAGAGGAGGTAGATCAGTCAGTTGACGTCCGGCTCAGGGGCGTTCCCGTGGGGAGCCAGTCGCGCAGCAGCTGTGGCACGACGAAACGCAAAACGTCAAAGAGCTCATCGCCGCCATTAGGTCCATCACCGCAGAGCTGACTCATCATATCATTGACGTCACTCGCGGCGGCACTATCCTCAAACCTCCAGCAGTCGATAGGCTTGGCTGGGGGGGCGATCTTCTGCGGACTGCTGGAGGAAGAGGTCCCTGTTGCAGGAACAGTCGCCGCCTTTTTCACAAGCGTGCCTTCGCTGCGGCCAAGGCCGCTGCGAATCTCGAGATTGCGATCTGCTTCCTGTCGAGCTTTCTCGATACGGCTGTCATCGATCAAGCGACCATCAAGATGAACAAACACACCCTCTGCCCGATGACAGCGGCGGCCATGTCGGCAGATCAGACCAGAAGGAGGTGGCGGCGCAAGGGGAACCGATGCAACCGACCTCCCTCCGAGCGCCAGAGGCCCAAGGTGTGGCGAACAGCCGCGGTTCGCAGCCCCCCCCCGAAGAATCCTCGGACCGTTCCTCGCCAATGCCTTCCGGGACCCTGAACCGAGCCTCGAGCACCGCGAGCTTGTCGCCAACATAAGTTATCATCCGTTCATGTGAAGGGTCAGCCTTTCTGCTAATCAACGTCGGGAGTTGGGCCTCCAGCGCTTGTGAACCCATACGCTGCATAAGCTGGTCGTCAATATAGGCACGAGTTTTCTGCCTGACTTCAGGAAGTCGGTGGTCAAGATACTCCTCGGCTCCATTCCGAAGAACAGCCTTCGCCTCCGCGGAGTGTCGCTTTTCCTCAGGCCCACCTGCGACAAAGGACGATGAAGAATATGATACTGATGCATTGGCCTCCCCGTCGTTGTCGGGCTCTGACTCTTTAGCCTCGCCACCCGACATCTTCTCCGAAGTGCCTTTCAACAGCGCGATCGTGTCATTCATGTCATCAACAAGGGAACGGTAGGAGGCCAACTGCGCGTCGTACACGACCTGTGCGCCTCCTGCAGCAACCTTGGGACCGAGAACAGCAAGGTTGATGGCGCCATAGCTGGCGGCGCAAGTACAGATGAAGACGGCGTGAACTCCAGCGCCTGTGGGTCGAACGCGCCCACTAACGGCCAAGGGCACCTCATCCCCCAGAAACGCGGGGCGAGAGTAATTCGAAGAGGCATCACATCTCGCGGAGACGCAACCTGAAGCTCTTCACCAAAAGATGCACAGAAAGATGCCTCCCAAGGATCAGGATAGTGACTCATGAATTGATATGCCACGTCAGTGCACCGCAACCTGCGCCGAGTAGAAGAAACAATAACTTTGCGGATAGCATGAGCCGAACAGTTGAGACCATAGTACGGTTTACCCGAATGGGACGCGAAAAGACGAAGAGCACGTGAAGCAATAGCAGAAATGTCCACACGCCTCTTCCATACGCGAACACGCAAATGCGAAACATGAGAGCAAGAAACCAATCAGATCTAAAACATGCCAGGCTAGATTGAGCCGCTGGTCAACAACAAATTTCGTCCTGAGCCGCAAGGGCTACGGAGGAGGAAGAGCAGGAGGAGTGACGCGGGGCGCTGCGGATTCAAAGCGAGGACCCAACACCACAGGATGGTTGGACAAACCGCTGTCGAATGTCTGGGGATGTGTTCTTCCTCCCAGACACCCCCCCCGAGCCCCCAATTCCCCCCAGCCATTTGCCCGCCCCCGCGCCCCGCCACCGCCACCTCGCAGAGGACGCCCGTCCGTGCCCGCGGCCCACCCCGCCGACCAGTCGACGTCGCAGGACAGGCCCTCGACCTTAGAAGCCCCCCCCTGGGGGTGCAGGCCTGGCCCACGGGGTCTGGCCCCCGATCCCGACCCGGGCCGGCCCGCCGAGCACGGAGCAGCTCAAAGGCCAACGTCCCGACCGACGAACCGGCCAGACCGGAGGCCTTATCGAAGCCCCGATATAAAAGGATCCAGGAGGAGGAGGACACGCCTCTGTGCCCCAGCGCGCTTCTCCTGTCTAACGTTATTCGCCCTTCTCCTTCATTGAGGAATGGAGTACATGTCGTGCACGAGCTGGTTGTATAGTCTTTGTGGTTGATCGAACGCTGCGTTCCGATCTCGTTTTTTTCTCGGGACGCGGGCATCAAGATGCGACGGCTCACGCCAGCCAATGTTGACCCAACGCAGAAGGAGGGGCACTGGCCAGCAAGGGAAAGGCGGACAAGGGAAGGCTACCCAAAGACAGGAAAAAGCGGCAGCGGCGACACAGCAGAGAGAGAAGCCCGCTGCTCTTCGCGAGGGCTGTCCCGACCGAGCACTCCGCGGGCAGACTCGGACATTTCAACGGCTTAGAAAGGAGCGGGCCCTATCATGTTTGCGAGGAGGAGGAAGGGGAGGACGAGGAATATATAGGTTTTTTTGGTTACCCCACTGATGATGTCCTGCAGCTCTGGACTAGCCCCGCTTCTCGTGGTCTTATCAAACTCTTTCGCCGTTTGCGGATGCCCTGGCTGGCTGCCCCAGTCCAGGAGCTGGGGATAATTTCGATCCGTCTTAGTTGCAAGTCAGACTGGCTCCGCCCAGCCCCGCAGCATTCCATCCCTCTTGCCGAACAGAGGTAGGAGGAGGAAGATGAAGAAAAGGAGGATTCTAGGCTCTCCACCTTCTTGGCCCGCTTCACGTTGCCCCGGCGGTAGTCAGCAAAGGGCAGGAGCTTGTTCGACGGGCTCTGCAGCGCCCCGACGCGCATGGCAAGGATCGAAGGGCACCTCGGGCCGAAGCGGGGGGGGCGGTCCACAAGGAGGAGGAGCAGGAGGAGGAGCAGGAGGAGGAGGAGTTGGAGACGCATCAGAGAAGGAATGAGGAGGCGGAGCAGGAAGAGGGGAAAGATGAGGAGGAGAGGCAGGAGGAGCAAGAGGAGGAGGAGCAGGATGAGGAGACGAACTAATATCCAGGCGAAGGACCCAACCATATGCAGCTGCGAATGTCGCGAGGCAAACGATAAAGGAGGGGGGCCACGAACCGTGTGAGGCGTGTGCTGTAATGGGTGGGGGAGACGCGTGCGACCAGTGGCGCTGGAGCCTTGGGTAGAGCTCCCTATGGGGCAATCAAACGTGTGAGTGGTGTGCGGTACTGGGCGGGGGAGATGCGTGCGAACGGTGATTCTGGGGCCTTGGGTAGAGCTCCTTGTGGGGCGTCAAACGAAGTGAAAGATGTGCTGGAATGGGCGGGGAGGACAAGGCCTGCGAACGGTGGCATTGGGGCCTTGGCTGGAGCTTCCTTTGAAGCCACGAACCGTCTGAAGGGCGTGCCGGAATGGGTGGGGGAGACGCCTGCGAACGGTGGTATGGGGGCCTGAGGTGAGGCATCCGATGGGGCAACAAACCGTGTGAGGGGTGTGCCATAATAGGTGAGGGAGACGCGTGCGAATGGTGGCGCTGGGGCCTTGGGTGGGTGGAATTCCCTATGTAACCACGAACCGTGTGATGGGCGTGCCGTTATGGGCGGGGGAGACGCGTGCGAACGGTGGCGCGGGGGCCTTAGGTGGGGCTCCCTGCGTGGCCACAAACCGTCTGATGGGTGTGCTTCAAGCGGGGGAGACGCATACGAACGGTGGGATTTTAAGCCTCGGGTGGAGCTCCCTATTGCCTATAGAGCCGCGAGCAGTGTGAGGGGTGTGCCGGAATGGATGGGGGAGAAGCATGCGAAGAATGGCGATTGGGCCTTGGGGTGGGGCTCCCTATGGGGCCCAGAACCATGGGAGGGGTGTGCCAGAATGGGCGGGGTAGACGCATGCGAATGGTGTTTGGGGCCTTGGGTGGAGCTCCCTGTGGAACCACGAGCCGTTTGAGGGGTGTGCCGTAACGGACGGTGGAGACGCCTGCGAACGGTAGCGCTGGGGCCTTGGGTGGAGCTCCGTTTGCGGCCACGAGACGTGTGAGGGGTGTGTGCATGGACATGCGGAGGGCAGAAGCAAGGATGGGAGGAGGGAGGAGGGGGAGGAGGAATGACCAGTTTTAACACAAGAGGGATCAACGATGTTGCAAGAATCCTTCCCTCCACATTCAGTGTCACAGGTCCCTAAACGAATTTGCTTCCATTGCCAGAGGTGCCCCACTGGAAGACAAACGTCTGAGAATCTTCAACTGTGGCGAAACACCACTCCTGGGAAATACAGCGAATCAAGGTGACTGTTGCGTCCTGGCAATCTTTACTCGTGCCAGGACACCGTTTCTGGGACTTCAACCATACGAGCCCTTGAAAGTGTTGACAACTGTTAAGAAGAATGCGCGCGGCGCTTGGGCGACAACCTCATGCTGCAAAGGAACCGACCTCCATCTGTGAAACTGTTACAGACTTGTCAGACCAATGTGCACGGCGCTAAGATAAAGACCACATTTTGAAAACGGCCCGCCCTCAATCCGTGCAACTGCCCCACAATTTGACAACGAATGTACGCGGCGCCAAAGCGAGAGCTACATGTTGAAAACCACCCGTCCTCCATGTGTGAATATGTTGCAAAGTTTAAGCTTCATGGTCATCAATGGTAGGGAAGTGTCAAGTGAAACGGCCAGCCCGCCCTGCCGACACGTCTGGGGCTGCAACAAGGAGGATATATTCATAAGCAAAACGGATGGATGACGCGGGGCGCGGAAACGAAGATCCAGTACCACATAATGGCTGGGAAGCATGAAGACGAGGAGTAGGACGGGGAGGAGCATCAACAGCAGGAGCGGGAGCAGGAAGAGCAGGAGGAGGACGAGGGAAGCAGGAGTGTAATGATGAAGAGGCGGGAGAAGGGAATAGGCGAAGGAGAGATGAGGAGGGGATGGCGAGGATGAGGAGGACAAGGGAGCAACAGGAGGTGGAGGAGGAGAGAAGGAGAGCCAAAAGGGAAAAGGAAAGAGGATGCGGATGAGAAGAGCAACCGGAACCAGGATCAGGAGGGAAGAAATCTGATTCGCGGCGTCATCCTCGTCCTCCCAATACCTCCGACGTACCCATTCCCCAGGTCCTGAGCCGCTTCTTGATGGTCCAGGGACCTTGGCTCACGACAGCTCAAGAAACCCCAAAGACGTCCAAGCAGCTCCCGGGCATGCATACCTTTCCCCCTCTGCGCCGGGCGGCCCCTGCGCCGGGCGGCCCCTGCGCCGGTCGCACGGAACCTTTGAACTCCCGGTATAATCGCAAACGGGGTTTGAAGAGGCGACCGCTTCGCAAGAGTGCTGTCTTCAGATCAGCACTTTAGGTAAGTTGTCGGTTGAGTCCATTCGCAGGCTGGCTGAGATGGAAGCTGCATCCAAACATCCAGGAGTGATGCTCGCGCCAAGTACATGAACGCATGCGTCGTTATGTCATTGCGGGCACACAAGAACGCGCGCCGGCTTCGAACAACATTCCACAACATGTAGAGCTTGTCTGGGACGAGAGCTCCGATGATAAGCCTAGCATGCAGATTTCTGTGCCGGGTCAGCACGCGCAGCGGCTGATGGGCGAGATTTCGCCGATAGCGTCTCAGTTGGGAACCCGTTTCATGAGAAAGGCGAGGTAATGACTGACTTTCCGCGGAGAGGGAAATGCATTGGACAAAGTTCTTGATACCATAGCTGCTTATCATAAGCGCGCGTCCACAACTGCTTCTTGGAGTGCGCGGCGTAAAAGCAACACAGGGATAACCATGCAACTTCTGAGCATAGGCACCACCTCAGGGCATGCGCCGGCAACGTACGTCCGCCTGCAATATCAGACAGATCCCAAGTGCAATATTGATGTTATCCATGGATTCCTAGATTCTTTAGGGGTGCAAGCTCACCACGTTCAGGTGCATTGCAGTAATTCCCAGCACTCTCACAACTTCTGGTGCCAAAATCTTGTGCCGGCGTGCTGTGCGGAACCCAATGATTGTTAAATGCCAGCGCTGCCAAGTATCCGCTGCAGCTGGGAGTGCAGGATGACAAGGATCACGAGGACTTGAAGGATCATCTCGCATCAATAGCCCCAGAGCGGACGCCGCCAGACCGCTCGAACGCACCAGGCGGATCGCCACTGCCTGGTGCTTCTACCTTTGCACGCCTCCCTAAGGATGAAAAGAGAACAGTCTCGCAGGGAGCGTTTGTAAACGAGCTTGCGAGCGAAGTTGATTCTTCTGAGTTGGACCAGTCTTTGGAACATATCGATGCGCCTGTTTGGAACGACCTGTCACTTGTGTGACCGGCTGCGCGCCGACACTCTCGAGCTCCCATCGCAACGCGATGGCAATAAAACGTTGGCAAGAACAAGAAAACGCACACCGCAACGGGAGTGAGCAGAGCTCTGGAGGCCGACTCTGATGTAGCACGCAGCGAGGGGGATCACTCACATGCACGTGCGTGCGAGATCGAACTCGGTTTGTTTGTCTCGCTGGATGCAGGTGGAGACGAAAATCCACGTACCATAGACCAAATTGTCGAAGTGCGGCACGCCTGTGACGAGGCAGGTAGAAATTTGCAAATCATCGGAAACATGATCGCGCTCAGACGTTCGGCGGTTACCCCGAATAATTTATGCGAGAGCGAGCCGACAGTTACGCAGCGAAAATGGCCAGGGCAAGAAGGTGAGTGCGTTGTCGTGCAACAAACAGCCGCTAGGTTCCATTATGACATAAGAGGCAGCAAGTGTTTTTCTCCGTGAAGCGGCATTCGCAGGAAGGTGCATGGAAGCGAGCGAACGCTCTCCAGCAACAGTGGGCTGACGAATTTAAAGCTGCGCTTGCGCAGGCGAGCGTAAAGCGCATTTGTTTTGCTCCAAGCTTCATAAGAAGGCAGAGGGCGATGTAACGGTGAGGGCAAGGTGTTGGCACGCGATGGGCAAAGACACGATTGGACTGATTCAGCAATATGTGCGCAGGAAAGACGCAATGTGAGATCGGGGGTCAAATAGAAACAACGGTTCGCCACGTCTAGTCGGAAAGGACCAGACGAACCGCATACTATTGAATGATGATGGCTATGTCCCCATTGTCTGCCAGAGAGGCAGACCCCGATTTTGCGAGCACTGCGCATTACCACCTGCGTTTATTTGAGTTTGTCCGATCGTGCCCAGTGCAGGAAGTACATCAATTCGACACCACTGGCCAGACTGAGCTCCACGCTTCAGACGCCACTGCAGCTTGCACTTTCTGCAGCCACATCCGTGGCGCCACAGTCCTTCACCATTGCACGTCCACATTTCCAGACATAGCAATGTACCTTCCGCATCGCATGCTTACTGGAATCGGATTGTCGGGGTTGTCGATTTGAGTTTGCATCCGTTTTCATTTCAACCTCTACTTGAACAGCCATTCCTCTGCCACGCGTGCGCAACAGCGACGAAGGAAAGGGTTTAACACAATTGAAATGGAGATCGTTCATTTGCGGCTGCGCCAGAACAGCATTCCACTTCCTCTGACGGAGCGTGGCAGCCAGGGCCGCCTGTCCTCGGAGCGTAGCAAAATTTGCTTCACTTCGCGGGCGCAGCCCATGCCAGTGAGCTGGAAGAGCATAAGTGTCGGAGGTTTGGAATCACGCGTAGCAGAAACAAATGGTGGGCCCGTCGCGCCCCACGGGAGAGGAAATGAGGGCGGGAGGAAAAGACGCGGGGTACAATTTCGCAGCATTTGCGAAAACTTCCTGCGAAACTCTCGTTGTTTCCTCTCGCCTACTGAGTGGTCTCGGAACGCTCTCGAGAACCTCATCGAGCCTCGTGGTGCGCTCTGCAAAGAGGCCTCTTCGGTATTACGTTCGCTGCGAGAGGTGCTAGCGTCCAGAACGATCGAGATATGGGCGTCGCGGAGGCTGCTGGGGTGGTTGGGCCTATGGCTGGGCCTATGGCCAGGCCTATGGCCAGGTAGGCCTGCACATCCAGAACAGCAATCACAGCAAGGCCAACGATACGGATTGCAAGGCGGGGATGGTAGAGGGGGCTCGTATTCATGACTCATGACTACGCCTCAAAAAAATATTCCGTGACCCACGAACTCCGCCTCCAAGGGGTATTCCGTGATGTGCGAAAGCCGCCTCCGAGGGGCATTCCATGACGTACGAACCCTGCCTTCGCAGCACCATGATCGTCATTCTCGCGGATCGTATCTTGCGAGTCCAGGGCAAGCACCCTCCTGGAGGCGTCGGCGGATAGGCCGGCACGACCAAAATGGATGGATAGTCAGTCGGGCGCATTTCTCCATTCTTGCCCCATTCTGATCGCTCTGACTCATTATTACACCTTTGGCTCCATGATCAAATCGCTCTTACACTCTTGATGCGTTGCGCTTCCTCGGTCTTCATTCAACTGCACCTTTGTGCGCTCCCCGTTCGTCGTTTGCTGATTTCTCAAGATCAAGCCAATATCATGTCATTCTAGCTCAAGCCTTACTCCATTATTGTTCCGTGACTACTCCATGCTAAATCCATGATTGCAACCTTCTGAGTCCACGATGGTTCAGTTATTGCTTATTGCTTCGTTCTTTATTACCTAACAGCGAAGACTGATAGGTTTCTAATGGGGCCAAAAAGAAAGCATCTTGACTCCCCGCAGGGGGGTCTGGGCAGGATCCGGGGGATGCCGGGGAAAACCGTGGACTCCCCAAAACCTTATCCCAGGCCACATTTTGACTGCCCGGAGCCAACAGAACACCATTCCAAGGCCACATTTTGAATGCCCGGAGCCAACTGTAGGCCACTTCGTGTTCTTCGCGTTCCCAGAACACCATTCCCAGGCCACATTTTGAATGCCCAGCCAACTGTAAGCCACTTCGTGTTCTTCGTCTTCCCTTAACACCATTCCCAAGCCACATTTTGAATGCCCGGAGCCAACGGTAGGCCACTTCGTGTTCTTCGTCATCCCAGAACACAATTCCCAGGCCACATTTTGAATGCCCTGAGCCAACTGTAGGCCACTGTTCTTCGTGTTCCCAGAACACCACTCCTGTACAATATTTTGATTGCCCGGAGCCAGCTGTGGGCCACTTCGTGATTTTCGTGTTCCCAGAACACCAGTCCTGTGCCATATTTTGAATGCCCGAGCTGAGGCAAGCTGAGGCTGAGGCAGGCAGAGGCCGAGGCAGGCTGAGGCTGAGGCTGAGGCACGCCGAGGCAGGCTGAGGCTGAGGCTGAGGCAGGCTGAGGCTGAGACAGGCTGCGGCTGAGGCTGACGCAGGCTGAAGCCGAGGCAGGCTGAGGCTGAGGATGAGGCAGGCTGAGGATGAGGCAGGCTGAGGCTGAGACAGAGGCAGGCTGAGGTTGAGGCTGAGGCTGATGCAGGCTGAGGCTGAGAGGCTGACGCTAAGGCTGAGGCAGGCCGAGGCTGAGGCTGAGGCCGAGGCAGGCTGAGGCGGTGGCTGAGGCAAGCCGAGGCAGGCTGAGGCTGAAGCCGCGGCAAGCTGAGGCTGAGGCTGCGGCTGCGGCTGAAGCAAGCTGCGGCTGAGGCAGGCTGAGGCTGAGGCTGATGCAGGCTGAGGCTGAGGCAGGCTGAGGCTGAGGCTGACGCTAAGGGTAAGGCTGAGGCTGAGGCTGAGGCAGGCTGAGGCTGAGGCTGATGCTGAGGCAGGCTGAGGCTGAAACAGGCTGAGGCTGAGGTTGAGGCAGGTTGAGGCTGAGGCTGAGGCTGAGACCGAGGCAAGCTCAGGCCGAGGCAGGCTGAGGCTCAGAGTGAGGCTGAGACTGGGGATGAGGCCGAGGCAGGCCGAAGCTCAGACAACGTGAAGCTGAATCGAGGGGGGGGGAGGGGGGAGGAGGGGAGGAGGGGAGGCTGAGGCAGGCTGAGGCCGAGGCAGGCTGAGGCCGAGGCAGGCTGAGGCCGAGGCAGGCTGAGGCTGAGGCTGAGGCGGAGGATGAGGCTGAGGCTGAGGCGCGCTGAGGCTGAGGCAGGCTGAGGCTGAGGCTGACGCAGGCTGAGGCTGAGGCAGGCTGAGGCTGAGGCTGAGGCAGGCTGAGGCTGAGGCCGAGGCAGGCTGAGGCCGAGGCTGAGGCCGAGGCTGAGGCAAGCCGAGGCAGGCTGAGGCTGAGGCTGAAACTGAGGCAGGCTGAGGCATCCGTAGGCATCCATAGGAATCCTTAGGAATTCCTAGGAATCCTTAGGAATCCGTAGGCATCCTTAGGAATCCGTAGGCATAGTTAAGCATCCTCAGAAATCCTTCGGAATCCTTAGGATTCCTCAGGAATCCTTCGGAATCCCTAGGAATCAGGATTCCTAGGGATTCCTAAGGTTTCCTAAGGATTCCTAAGGATTCCTATGGATGCCTTAGGAATCCCTCGGAATCCTTAGGATTCTATTGGATCCGAAGGCCGTTGCCGCTGCGACTGTCATTGCGACTGCGACTGCGAGAACAGCAGAACTCAACAACTGGATTGTCACCTGAATCTTAAAGGGAATACTTCTAGATATGCTTATACACATCGCTGTTAGGTTGTTTTGCCGGGATAATTTTAGACTTCGGCCCGAGTCCATGGACTGCCTGCGCTATACTTCTCCAAAGATAGATCGGCGACAAGATTTGCTATGTAAGACGGTTGGAGGCACAAGGGGGGCAGGAGAGGGGCACCTGAGGGGGGAAGGGGAGGAAAAGGCGTTCAGAAAAGCTCTCAGACCCGTGCCCAACGCGACGACCTCGGCCTCGAAGGCGCTTTTGCAGCGTTAGAGGTACGCGCCCCCAGTAGCCATGAGGGCGCCGCTGTCCTCATTCATGTCCAGGAGAGCGTATGCAGAGGCTCCGTTCTTGCTTTAGTCTTGCTCCATTATTATTGCTGTATGGCTCCATTATTGCTCATTTCTCGCCCCCCATGATTGCTCCATTCTTGCTCCATGAGTATTCAATTCTTGCTCCAAGCTCGCTGAATTATTGCTACGTCGTTGCCCCAACGCTGTCGTCGTCTTCGTCGTCGTTGTCGTCTTCGTCGTCGCCAGTCCCAGGAGAAGAAAGAACGAACAGGGAAAAGAAACGCCGTGATTGGCTGATTCCCCTCCCCTCCTTCCCCTCCCTGACGGGGGGATGGGGGGGGGCCGGCACGGGGGGTGCTGCGGGGCGTGGGTGTGGGGGGGCAGGGTGCGGGGGGCGTCCCGGGTCAGACTGCCGCCCACCCTGGGGGCCGCGGAGGGGTACGGGGTACGGGGGGTGCTGCGTCGGGTGGGCAGGGGGGGCGGGGCACCGGGGAGGGGACCCGGAGTCCCGGCGGGTCCTGGGGGGCCCCCCCCCGTGGACAGGGGGACGAAGGGGCACTCACATCCGGGCGGGTCGCCGGGGGTCCCTTGGGGAGGTCCCGCATGTGGTGGGGGGGCAGCCTTCAGGATCGGCAACACCAGCCGTGAGGCCTTCACAATTACTGTTACATCCCAGGGCTGAACCTAAACGGTGTTTTTCGTTTTCGTTTTGTTTTCGTTTTCCCTCGTTTTGTCTTCAACCCACCTCTACCGCAAAACGAAGTCGAAACGAAAACAGCCCACGAACTCGCCAAAACACCGTTTAGGTCCAGCCCTCCCCAATTCCGTTCCATGCCGGAGCCCTGTCACACCATTGGCTCCATTCTCAGAGCGGCGTTACATCGTTTATGCGTGAATCTTCCTTGGGCACCAATCGCCTGCACCCGCGTGCCTGTCCCCAACTCTCCGTTATCCGGATGTTCCTCCTGAATCATCTCTCTCTCTCTCTCTTTCTCCCTCGCTTGTCATTCTCGCTCCACGTGTAGCGCTGTCCTACCCCACGATTGCTCCATGATTGCTCAGTGATTGCTCTTTCTTGCTGCATGTGCATGCATGCTCCATTAATGTCCCGTGTTGGCTCCATCATTGCGCCATTATTGCTCCACTATTGCTCAATCTGTACTCCACGTCCTTGCTCCTTTCTTGCTCCGCCTTTGCTCCATTATTATCCCATTATTTCTCAAGCCTTGCCCCATTATTGCTCCATTATTGCCCCAGTGTTGCTCCATGTTTGTGCAATGTGTGCTTCATTCTTACAGTTGTCTGACTCCATCCTGATTTAGTGGGGGATATACGTGGACCTCTTTGCCACTCATTACTTGCTGAATTGTGTCCAACCTTGCTCCCCCCCTGTTTCCTCCTAGAATCCCCAAGACCTCAGATGGAACAACCAACAGTTGAAATGTTATTATCATTCGAACCGTTTCAACGATCGATGAACTACTGGACGATCTAGACGATATGGCTGCTTTGGAGGTATCGCGCAGAATGAATCGGTTCCAATCGTGACATGTCCACTCCCATACATGCTACAAATGCATGTTGCTTGTATCCGGGAGGGCATAGCGCTGACCTATCGAACGAAACTGTATAATTCGCCGGCCCAACGGGCCAGGGCGTGCTAAGATCTCCGGTACCTGGTTAACAGTATTTCTAGTTCGCGCGCGCGGGGCGGCCCCTGGGGGTCCCCAGACGAAAAGTACCCCGGCAAGGTCCCGGCAAGTCCCCGGCAAGTCCCCAGCAAGTCCCCGGCAAGGTCCCCGAAAGTCGGGCCAGAGATGCCGGAGCCCTGTTACAGGGCCCCAGGACGGGCCAAGAGGTCCCCAAGAAGCCTCCAAGACGGTCCAAGAGGGCCCCGAGACGGCCAAAGATCGCCCGAAGACGCCCAGCAGGGCCCCAAGACAGCCCAAGAGGCCTCCAAGACGCCCCAAGGGCCTTCCCAGAGGCCTCCGAAGAGGGCCCCAAGAGGCCAAAATCGCTGATTTTCATTATTTTTGTTCGATGTTTTTTGCGTTCTGGCTTTTTCGGCTTCCGGACGCTCCAAGACGGCCCAAGAGGCCCCCAAGACCGCTCCAAGACGGCCCACGAGGCTCCCAAGACGGCCCCGGAACGGCCCAGGAGGGCCCCCAAGACGGCCCAAGTGCCGCCCAAGACGGACCAAGAGGCCCCAAGACGGGCCCAAGAGGGGCTCAAGAGGGGAACCGAGAACTGAAAAATCGAGCCCTCCGCCCCAGAAGGCGCCCAGGAGGCCCCAAAAAGGCCCCAAGAGGCCCCCAAGAGGCCCCCAAGACGCCCCAAGAGGCGCCCAAGAGGCCCAAAAGAGGCCCCAAGAGGCCCCAAAACGGCCCCCAAGAGGCCCCAAAACTCGGCTAGCCCACAACGGTGCGACAATATGGGCCGGCGGAATGAGCGAAGCGATTAAATAAACGAGCAACACATGCTGAAATCGTACGCACTGCAGCCTCGTTCACAAGCTTTCAGTAACCACTTCAGAATGCAGGCAGGCAGCACCAGTTTTACCTACCTGTGTCAATATTGCTTCTCTTATAGGGGCGGCGGCACCTCCATCACTGCCTGCTGATTCGTCATAGTTGGCTTGCTACATTATTTCTTCAGCCCTGCTTCGTGATTGCTACATTGCCACTCCATTCTTGACGCATTACCGTACAAATCTTAATCCATTCATGATCAGACATTGCTCCATCTCCGAAATCCGGCATCACATACAATTATATTTGTTGGTGGCGTCTGACTTCAAAACCCTCGCGGAACACGCCATCACGTAATGTTTAACTCCTGTAGTTTTCAAAATCCAAATCAGGATCAAGAGGACATGGAAGAGGAGGAGCAGGAAGGGAGGGACGGAGGAGGGAGGAGGGACGGAGGGAGGGAGTGAGGAAGGGAGGAGGAGAGGAGGAGGTGGAGGAGGAGCGGCAGCAGCAAAAGCAGCAGCAGAAGCGGGATAAGGAGATGGAGCAGGAGATCCAGGAGGAGGAGGAGGAGGAGAGTAAGGGCAATAAGAAACAGAATTCCTCCTCCTCCTTGCACATTCGTCTTCGAAAACGGCAGGAGCTTCACGAATGGAGGGCGGTTCCTTTTCAAAATGTGGCTCTCAGATTAGCGCGTCGCAAATTCGTTTCAAGAAGTTCCAACCTTTTCAAAGCCTCTCATGAATAATGGCCAGCACCATTGTTCTGGTACGATGTCGGATGGCGAGGGCGCAACAGTTCCGCTGATTCGTGGTATTGAAGTCGCAGGATCGCCAAGACGCAACAGTAACGGTGATTCGCTGCGTTGAAGTTCCAGGAATGGTGCTCTGGCGCAGCTCAGGATGTTCAATCCGTTGTCTTCCAACGAGGCACTTCGTTCAGTGAAAATGAATCCGTGCAGGGGCCTATGAAGAGGGAATTTGCAAGGAGGGGGTATTGTAATGTCGTTGGTGAGCCGTGGGTTTACACTGGTCCTCGTCCTCCTCGTCCTCCTCCTCCTCCCCCTCCTCTTCTTCCTCATCATCGCCATCAGCAGCAGCAGCAGCAGCAGCCTATCAACATACTCGTATACCTATACGACCACCCTTCGGGTGATAAGGAGGTTGTGGGGGGGGTGAGAGGGGGGAACCAACACCTGACTCAATCGATCTCACTATCGATCTCACGCAACGGAACACCACGGGACACCACGGGACACTTGTCGATCTCACTATCGATCTCACTATCGATCTCACTCAACGGGACATCACGGGACACCACGGGCCGAAACAGGACACCATGCGACACCGCGGAACACATCTCGATCTCACGATCGGTACCACTATCGATCTCACTATCAATCTCACTCAACGGGGCACCATCGGACACCACAGGACACCTCGGGACACCACATCGATCTCACTATCGATCTCACTATCGATCTCACTCAACGGGACACCACGGGACACCACGGGACACCACGGAACACCCGTCGATCTTAGTATCGATCTCACTATCGATCTCACTTTTTGGGACACCACGGGACACCACGGGACACCTCGGGGCACCACATCGATTAGTGTCGATCTCAGTATCGATATCACTATCGATCTCTGTCGATCCCACTATCGATCTCACTATCGATCTCACTCAACGGGACACCACGGGACACCTCGGAGCACCACATCGATCTCAGTATCGATCTCAGTATCGATCTCACTATCGATCTCACTCAACGGGACGCCACGGGACACCACAGGACACCAGCGGGACACCGGCGGGACACCGCGCGGCACCGGCCGCCGGAGAAGAAACATTTGGTCCGGCCGCGGCCCAGCTACAGGAGGATTTCGGGACACCAGCGGGACGCCGGCGGGACACCGCGCGGCACCGGCAGCAGGAGGAGTTACATTTGGTCCGGCCGCGGCCCAACCACAGGAGGATTTCCTCTCGCCCGCCCACGCAGCTTCGCCTCGCCCGCACGCACGCACGGCACGCACGACACGAACCCGAAACCGAAATCGATCTCCCCGTAGGGGGGGTCCGTTTCACGTCGGACTCACCCCCACACCTCCGATATCCTCCCCCACCTGTGCTTCTCCTCCGAATCATTATCCGTCCACTTCGCCGGAATCCCTCGTGGGACTCGACGGGCGCGAATATCCATTCTCCCCCCCCTTTCCGCCATCCCCCTCTCCAACCCTCCTCCTCGTCCTGCTCCTTATCGTCAGATTACTGTTCCTCCTCCTCCTCCTCCTCCTCCTCCTCCTCCTCCTCCTCCTACGTACCATGCCTATGAGGATCTTCGTAATGTTTCGTTGTCCTCATCCTCTCCCTCCTCCTCGTCCTCCTGCTCATCGTATTCCTCCTCTTCCTCCTGATCATCAGCAGCACCTGTAAATTCATCATCGTCATCATCATCATCAGCAGCAGCATCAGCATCAGCATCAGCATCATAATCATCATCATGATCACCAGCACCGTCACCATCACAATTACCATCACCATTAGCAGCATCATCGTCATCAACATCACAATCATCAGCAGCAGCATCGTCGTCATCATCATCATCATCATCATCAGCATCACCATCGCCATCAGCATCATCGTCATCACCATCCTCATCCTCATCCTCATCCCTGCCCTCACCCAAACCATCACCCTCACCCGCCTCCTCCTCCTCCTCATCATCATCATCAGCAGCAGCAACAGCACCATAATCATTAATATCATCACCATCACCACCACCACCACCAACACCATCATCATCATCATCATCATCACCATCATCATAGTCGTCATCAGCATCATCATCATCATCATCATCATCATCATCATCATCATCATCATTAGCATTATCATTCGCATCATGATCACCATCATCATCATCGTCATCAGCATCATCATCACCATCATCAGCATCATCATCAGCAGCAACATCATCATTAGCAGTATCATTAGCATCATCTTCCTCAGCGTCATAATCATCATCAGCATCATCATAATCAGCTGCATTATCGTATTCCGCATGTTCGTGATCATCAGCATCACCCGAATCATCGTCATCACCATCGTCATCACCATCATCATCAGCATCATCATCAGCAAGGCAATCATCAACATCATCATCGCCGTCGCCATCAGCGCCATACTCATCACCATCACCATCATCCTCATCCTCATCCTCATCCTCATCCTCATCATCATCATCCTCATCATCATCATCATCATCATCATCATCCGCATCCTCGTTCTCCGCATGTTCGCGGTCAGCATCATCAGCAACATCAGCGTCAGTGTCGTCGCCATCGTCATCAGCCTCATCAATGGCCATCGCCAGCGCACTCTCCATCGCCATCATCATCGTCATTACTTCCATCATCAGCATCATCGTCATCAGCATCACCATCGTCATCAACGTCCTACTCGTCGTCACCGCGGGTGTAGTTACCACCATCAACAACAGCACAAAACTCGTCGTTGTTATCCTCGTCGTCGCCAAAACGATAACCTTCATCACAACAATCATCATCATCGGCAGCACCATCGTCGTCGCTGCTCTCATCACAACCAATGCCACGACCAGCTTGGCCATTGTGCACATCATCGTCGGGAGTATCGACACCCACCACCAAATCATCAACAGGCATCATGATACTGTCCCTCTCCCCCGCCCCCCAGAGGCGGGCACGCCGCTGCCGCCATTTGCAGGAGGGGGGTCTGCGCTCGCGCCGAAAAAAATGCGGGGCGTGGACGCGGCGGGACCGGCGGGGGGCGTTGGAGGCTGTGAGCCGACACTCGCGGCGAGGCGGTGGGAGGGGAGAGGGAGGGAGGGATGAGATAGAGAGGGAGGAGAGCGAGGGAGGAGAGGAGAGGGGAGGAAGGAGGAGGCGGGAGCAGGCGGAGAAGAGGAGCGAGGAAGAACCAGAGAGGAGGAACAAATGGAGGCTGGACATGGGAAGAGGGGTGATTTGACCCGACGCGGGCAATACGAATGGGTACCTCTGGAGGAGTGGGGGCAGAAGGAGGGAGGGAGGAGGGGAGGATGGAGGGAGCGAGGGAGGAGGGGGGCGCGGGAGGGAAGCGGCGGAAGGCGAAACTGCACTCGCACTTTGCCTGCCCTCCCGCGGTGCCAGCTTGTTCCATCGCACTCGGTGTTTGCGAAGCCCACGGGGTGGGATTACGGCCAGCCATCCGCTTGCTGCCTTAACTCCTGCCTTTTCTCCTCCTCGTCGTCGTCCTTTTCCTGCTCTTCCTCTTCCTCCTCCCCTCTCTCCTCCTCCTCTTCTTTCTCCTCCTCCTCCTCCTGTCAGGATCATTTTTTACGGTGCAAAGCTATCGTGTCGATTGGACTCTCCGCGTGTGCGTGCGAAACAAGGGTGCCGCCACACACTCATCACAGCCACACAGACCCTCCTCCTCCTGCTCATCACACCCTCCTCACAGCCACACACTCCTCACACACTCCTCCTGTCAGAATCATAATCCTCCTCCTCCTCCTCCTCGTCGTCCTCCTCCTCATCACCATCATCACCATCAGTATCATCACCATGAATATAATCATCATTATCGTATTCATACTCGCTTTCAATTTCGTATTAAATGTTCGTATGGATGTCTTTTCATCATCATCGCCTCCTTCTCCGTCTCCTCCTACTCTTCCTCATCCTCCTCTGACCATACCGTTCCTCCTCCTCATCCTTGACATCATCATCGTCAATACTTCCAGACAATGTTACAATGCGTATCGTTATCGCCATCATCATCAACATCGTGATCCCTATCAACAGCATCATCATTATCATGATCATGATCATCAACATCATCAACAACATCATGATGGTGATCATCATCATCATCATCATCACAACCGTCGCTATCATCATCGCCATTACCACCATCATCGCCGTCATCGTGCTCATCGTAATCGTCATCATCGCCATCATCACCCTCATCATCATCCACGTCGTCATCACCATCACCATCACAACCACCATCATCCTCATAATCAACATCAATACCAACATCATTATCATCGTCGTCATCGTCATCACCATCAAAACCAACATCGTCATGATCATCATCAACATCACCAGCACCATCATCATCCTCATCATCATCAGCATCGTCGCAATCATCGTAGTCGTCGTCATCATCATCTTCGTTATCACCATCAGCATCAACATCACCATCGTCGTCGCCATCAGCGACATACCCATCATCATCATCATCATCATCATCATCATCATCATCATCATCATCATCATCATCATCATCATCATCATCGGTATCATCATCATGCCCAACAGCGACAGCATCCTCATCGTCATCATCATCTGCATCATCATCATCATCAGCATCGTCACCACAACCATTATCATCACCACCATCATCATGATCTGGATCATCATCCGCATCCTCATCCACATGTTCATCCTAATCCTCCGCCTCCTCCTCCTGATATCCTGTTCTTCCTGCTCATGCTACTCCCTCCTCCGCCTCGCCCTCCTACTCCTCCTCATCCTCCCCCTCCTCTCATCCTCCTCCTCCTCCTCCTCCTCCTCCTCCTCCTCCTCCCCCACTTCCTCCTCATCCTCACTTCGCCCCCCTCCTCCTCCTGCAGCATCTCACCCGCTCCAGTCTCCTTTTTAAAAGAATTTGGATTGTACCCTCATCGCCCCCCCGAACTTATCAAGCCAGCCTCGCGAATTGCAATTAGCATATGCTTCTGTCTTCTTGTTCATTTCCCCCAGGCCGGAGTTCGCCCCCCCTTCATCCTCTGCAAAAAAATGCGCGCACACGTTTATAAAAATTCAGCACTCTTCTAACATCCCTTGCAACAAAAAAGCGAAGTGCACACGCGCGCGTCGTCGCGAGCGAATGCCAGAAACCTTCAACAACCCAAGGCTTTGTAAAGATCTTACAATCGAGGGTCACGAGAACATATACAATGGTTTCGCAATAATGGTTTTCAAAAAAAGGCTGCGCCCGCGATGTTGGGAATTCTTGGGGAAAAAACAAATGCTTCGACCAGTGTTATGAAATGCTACCAAACGGGCCTCTCGCGCGCGCATGTCGAGATCGCCCGAACGCCCATGCACGCGTGCTGTCGCAATAACCCCAGGGCAAAACATGGGACGAAATGCGCGCGTGCGCGTCGTCGCGCGCGCATGCCGGAATCCGTCAAAAACCGTCGGTGTCGCAAGGGTTCCAAAAAACGGGTGCCCCCGAAAACATATCAACACGCATAGATTCGCAACATCAGTTGTCAAAACAGCCTGCGCTCACGGTCTTGCAGATTCTTAAGAAAACCATCGGTTTTCCAACGCTTTCATCGAATTATGCCCATCGGGCCTCTCGCGCCGCATGTCGAATTCATTCGAAGGCCCCTGCGCGCGTGCTACTCTCATAGTCGTGTCTACCGCGCCGCCCACCTAATTCACCGACTCGCACTGCAGTGCCCGCTGGGAAGTGCCCAGAGGCCAGCGCCACCACGGCCGCGTCGGTCGAGTCAAACTAACTGGCCGCTGTGCGCGCGAGCATGCGCGGGCTGGCGCGGCCGCACAGATGCACCAGCCAACGCCAAGCACTCATCGCATTCGCCGCCGCATGGGTTTTGCAAACCAAGTTGCGGGTGGGTGTGTGAGATGTTTTCAAGAACATGGACTTTGTCAAGTCGTTTGTAAAAATGAATTCCTCCCCATTGTATCAACCAGTGGCCGGATCGAACCTTCTGTGACGCAAACGACCGCGACGCGGCCGAACCGACCGAACCGCGAACACCCTTGCCTCCCCCTCTCCTGCCGTTCCCCGTTCCACCCGGGGCAACAAAAGGGCACCGACACCGCAAATTCCCTCCACTCCTCCCAGGGTGCGCTCTGCACAGCGCGCCGAAGGGAACCCAGCCGTGGCGACTCTCCAGGACGAGCATCGGCATCGATACAGCGTACACCCTGCGAAATGCTTAAGAAATCATGGGTTAAGAAACTCAGAGTCTCAGAATTTGAATAAAAACCCAGAACTTCTATCAAAATCTTAGGATTTACATTGAAACATTAAGAAGAATCGAGACTCTCGCCAAAAACTTAAGTTCTCTTAAGCATCGCCTAGGGTGTACAGCTTCCCTCTCTGGCCACCACCCGTGAACGCGCGGGGAGGGCGAGGAAAGCCAGAGGCCGCGGCCTGCACCGCGAAAGGGGCGCGGTCCATCACCCTGCCCACGCCGGCCGGGCCACCCTCGGACGGCGCCGGGAGGGGACCCAGGATGGGGGGGGGGGGGCTGGCCGCAGCACCGCCCACGCTCGCGGGGCCTCCGCGCCAGCGGGCCGCCACGCCCGCGGACCGCCTCGCCCCCGGAGTTTCGCTTCGCCCATGGCTCGGCGGCTCAAAGAGGACCCCGAGGATTTGTCTGTTGTGCTTCAGTGCTTTTTGAAATTCCAATTTAGAAGGTACAGAAGGGGGCCCCGAGGGATGGGGCCTTTAAAGGACGAGGGCGACGTCGTGGTGCGATTGGCTCGAGACACGTTCCGGTTCCGGAGCACCTGGCGGCCCCCGTTTCTGCAGGCCCGTGTGGGGATCACGAGCTCCTCCTGAGAATCCTTGCGATCCTGGAGTTCTTGGAACGTTTCACCGTTGTTTGTCGTTTTTCTTTCGGCGCGACATGTCAGAGAATGAGGAAAGCTGAGGGGACGAATGCGGGTCAACGGTCCCTCGTCCGAAGACGGAGACAAATTCCGGCCCCGACCTACGGCAGGTCCTCGTCGCACACTCTCACCCCGTACGGGTAGTTCTTGGAACGTTTCTCTATCTATACGACCACCCTTCGGGTGATGAGGAGGTTGGGGGGTGAAGGGAAAAAACGAACTGCTGGCAAAAGCGATGGGTTTGATGATGACGATGCTGGCGACGCGCCCTCGAATTGGCGACGACGCGTTATGACGATGTTGCGCTGCGATGTAATGTCACTATCGTCCCCGCTTTCGATCTCACTCGATTGATCCCACTATCGACCTCACAGGATCGATCACACTCGATCAATCTCACATTCGATCTGTCGAACGATCTTGCTATAGATATCACTGAAGATCTCGTTTCTCGATCTCACTATCGATATCAATATCGGTTCCTCTATCGATATCACTATTGATCTCACGATCAACCTCACAACCAACGTCACAGTCAACCTCACTGTCGATCTCACGTGTGGTCTCACTATCAGTCCCATTCTAGTGATCTCATTGTCGATCCCACTATCGATTTCACTATCGATAACAAGGCGGAACACCCCTGGCCACCGCCCGCCCACCACCGACGGAACACCGACGGGACATCAACGGGACGCCACAAGACACCACGGCGGGACACCCTGGGCCACCGCGCGCCCACCGTGGGCGGAGGGACGGTCCACTGCATCCGAATCGACCTTGCGACGGCGGGGTCATTCCTCTCGCGCGCCCACGCAGCCTCGCCTCGCCCGCACGCACGACATAAACACGACACCGAAACCGATTTCCCATTTCCCGGAAGGGGGCTCGCCGTTCCAGTGCGATCTCAACCCCCAACCTTCGATCATGGCCTCTTGTTCCTCCAACTTTTCGTTGCTGCGGCGCTGGCGGTCGCTCACCGCGTGGCGGCCCAGAACGGGATGCGGAACGGCAAATTGGCACCAAGGAGGCGGGAGGAGAAGAGAGGGCGGCCCAGGAAGGGGGACCGCAAGCGGGCAATGCGCTCAGGACAAAGTCCACGACTCCAGTGCTGCGGCCTGGGCTCCAGGCAGGACTCGTGCCCAGGTGAGGCCCAGACGTGAACCTCAAGCAGTAAAGCTTCGGCTTGTAATCCACCTCCTATCCTCAGGGCCCCATCCCTCGGGGCTTCATCTTTGAACCACTGCGCCCCGAGGCCCCTGAGCACCGCTTCGGGCGACGCGGTCCGCCAGCGGAACGGTCCGGTGCCGGGGGGGCGGGTGGGGAGGGGGCGGGCGGGCGAGGGGCGCCAACCGGGGCGCGGCGAGCGAGAGGGGACTTCGAGGTTCGGACCTCGAGGATCGAGGATTCGAGGGCATCATGTTTTTTTTTCGGGGGGGCTCCCAGGGAGACTTCTCATCGCCTCGGCTGAATCCGCCTCGAAGCTCTGGTCCATACGCAGCGGAGGCGCCGCCCACGGCCGCGGCGGCGTTCGCCGCATCGCCTGGCCCACTCGGCCTTGACGCGGTGACGACTCCCCGATATCCAGCACGCGGTGTTCGCTGCGCCCATCCTCGCCTTCACCGCAGGCGCCGTTCACAGCGTCGGGACCCTTCGTCTTGCCCGTGCAACTCGGCCTCGCCCATGCGCCGACTCCGCCGCACAGCCGCTGCTGAAGAAGGGCTCGCCCTCGAATCACCCGCAGGTACCGTCCGCGGTCGGTACTGCGCTCGTCGCGTGGCCATCACACTCGAACTGAACCAGCGTCAAATGCTCCATCTCCTTCGGTCGTTGCTCGTGGCCGCGGTCGACGGAGTGTGACTGCGCCCCCAACACCCCCTGGAGCCCTAGACGAACCGCTTCTCCAGCTCAGCTGGCTCGTCCTGGCGACTAGCGCACTGGTACTGATAATGAAGGTCTACGGCGAGCGAGCCTCGCACTGTCACCGTCCACCCACAGGCAAGCCGTCTCGAGGCAGGAGTGGAAAGATAAAGGCACTGTGCTGCACAGGCGCAGCTAAAATTGCACACGGCGGTGCACCTGCCTAAACGCAGGCGTATGTGAAGCCCGCGTATCAAGAGAGGGACGCGTCCAATTCCTGGACAGCGCGCCTAAGACTCCCGGCTGCACCCCTTCAGAACACCAGTGGTAGTGACCGTCTGGAAGTCAAACCACAAGGTAATCCATACAGTTGAGACACTACCTGAAGGAACGCTAGATCGGGGAGGAACCCCTTTTTGTGGCCCTGGAAGCACCTGGGGCACGAAGAGCGCTAGAGGAACAACCACGGAAATACCTAAGGAAGAGCGAACCCTGCAGTGGTCCTTAGATCACCGTCCTGACTGTATTCGAGCCATCGCTCTTGGTAAATCAGTCGCCATCTCGCGTGGCATGGGCCCGCGTGAGCCGGCCTGACGCATTACTATGAGATCGCACTGCTCCTGCAAAGAGATACCCAGCCCCCAAACATAGCGTCCAAGATTGCTCCATGTGCGGCCCCAATCCCTACGTCGTCGCATTTCGATTCGCAAATTCTTCGTTGGGGGTGGCATCCGTCAAAGGCTGTCTTCCAGTCCTCCAAGACCGCCAAGATACGTCCCGCGGGCGGCCCGAGAATACGCCAAGGCGAGCCCAACCCCAGAATGGACGCTTGAGGCTTGGAGTGGGCATGGAATATTATGGCGTTTTCGAAGGTTCGATTCCCCCCTACACGAAGCGCGGTATGTATGTGTGTGTATGTATGCATGCATGTATGTGTGTCTGCATGTTTGTATGCATGTATGCATGTATGTACGTATGTATGTATGTATGTATGTATGCATGTGTGTAAGTAGGTATGCATGCATGCAGGCATGCATGCATGTATGCGTGTATGTATATACGCATGCATGTATGTATGTCGGTCTGCCTGTGCATCTGTCTGTCTGTCTGTCTGTCTGTCTGTCTGTCTGTCTGTCTGTCTGTCTGTCTGTCTGTCTCTGTGCTTGTGCGTGTATTGTTGTACGTATAAATGTATGCATGCATGCATGTATGTATGTATGTATGTATGTGTAAGTATACCTGTATGTAGGCATGCATGCATGCCTGTGTCTCTGGATATACGCATGTCTGCATGCATGTCACTCGTACCCAGAGGAGTCCAGACGGGTCCCGCCAGACAGACCTAGAAGGGCGCTCGAGAGTGCTCTACAAGGACCTGGGCAGCACGCCGTATATTGTAGCGATGCCTCCCGAGAGCCTCCTCATTGTCGAGGGGGCCAGGGTCGGGGGCGGTACGCACAACATTATATATATATGGTAAGCCCGCACAATCCTCTCGACGATCTCAGGCGTAGGGTGACCATCGAGCCCAAGTCGCGTAGAGGGACAGTCGGGAGGCGAATCGGGATGGCATACAAGCCTCCACAAAACTGGGCAATGAAGATAGTGCAGCATGTCGTCACGGCACTGAGCACACTCGAATCTACACATGCCAATCTCTGACGAGTGCAAACGCGCGCTAATGAGCCAACCTCCTACAATCGTCTTTAGGACCGCACTCTGCCATGCTGGGGGGCCCCATTCCGAATGAGATCTCTGAGGGCATCCCAAAACGATTCTGAAAATGGGAGCTCCCAAGAGGCCATACGTTTAGCGAGAGTGAGGTGGAGGACGTCGGGGTAGAGGGAGAGGCGTAAGGAGGAGGAAAGGGATCTCTGCACCCTCACGTGCCCCTGTCCCGAGGCTTCGGCGAGGGCAGCAAGGGCAGTGCGGGCGGCCGAGGCATGAGCCTTCAGTGGAAAGGTGGCCTGGCTGGCCTCAGACAGGTGGACCACAATCGGCTTGGTCTTCCAGAACGCGGGCGACCACCAGCCAGAGCCCATCTCCGCCAGGCTGCCGAAGGCGAGCGTGGTCTCGTACAGCGTCTTGTGCAAGGTCAACCAGTTAGTCACAGCGCCCATGGCCGTGCGCATTCGCGTGGCCAAGCTGAGGACCTGCATGCTGGCTGGTCGCAATGCCGACCAGCTCCCGATGCCCAGAAGCCCAGCCAGCGAGAGCGACTGGGGCGGGAGGTGCCAGAGCTTGCGCCACGCCCAAGCCTCGCGCCTGACCAGCGCGCGGGGCAGCGGCGCCAGCTGCATCAAGTTGCTGAGGATCGTCAGCACGCGCGAGTTGTAGATCACGGTCGTGAGGTGCACCGGCGCGCCCTCACGGGCAAGGTCGCGAACGCGGTGGATCCATTTGGCGCCCGCCTCCTGCCACGCGTCATCGATCGTGGCGCCTGGACCCAGGATGCAGCCGAGGTACTTGGCGAACGGCACCACGTCCATCTGCTCCCAGCCTGGCAGCTCCTGCGCGAGCCACTCCTTGATGCTGGCCGCCAGCTCCTCGGTGAAGGCGGCGTTCAGGGGCACCACCTTGCACTTGGCCGGCTTCGGGGCCAAGCCTGCTGAGGCCTGCGCCGCGGCGAAGACCCTGCGAAGGCGGAGCAGAAGCCTGCAATCCTGCAGGACCGTGCCCACATCGTCGGCGCAGACGCCCACCACGGAGGCCTCCCAGTGCGCCAAGATCTCC